GTATAAAATTATGTATTAAAAGATTACCCTTCAATCTGATAACGGCTGGTGGCTTCCTAAAGCACTAAGCTTATAAACTAAGTAAAACTCAGAACATCTCCAAATTGGCTACTTCCAATAGAGAATTCCAACATCAGGCCCTCAGACCCTCAGATTGCGAACAAATATATATACTGTATGGCTTGAGGCTTAAAGTTGGTAGTGGCTGATTTTCTGCTCTACGTTGCTGTTTTTTTATAGAATCTGTAATACAGCTAACTGGTCAAAATGCTGCAACCTTGAATCTCTGTTTTCTGGCCTTGGAGTTCATGTGAACAGTCTGGGTGAGGCCTGGCAGAAATCATGTTATGGCAGAGTTCACACACAGCACTAAGCTGTAATGTGATTTGCTTGGGTTTGGCCTAACCCAATTTATCAACTCAACTTGTGGGTTCTAAATTATGTTTCTGGCTTAACGCAGTGTGTGAATCCAGATAATTGTGGCTTTTTCAATCAACCGTATTTCAACATCCATGTCTTAGTGGCAGGAGTGACCCAGGTCTGTCTCATCGCCCATTTCCTTCATTTTAAGTTATTATTTACTCATACAGGCTTATGCCACTCATAATGTGATTTTGGCCATAGCTTGTCTGCGACCTCAATCCCTGTAGCTGACAAACTTTGGTTTATGGCTGAGTACAATATGTGAACACTAGCAACTGTGCTTTATTCAATAAAAACTGGATGAACAAACCGTTGACTGTTTGGCTGGGAAACTCAGTCAATTAAATTTGCAGCTTTTCTCTTTGTTGGGTCAGTTATCTCACCTTTTGCAGACCAACTGTTCTTGTCTTCCTGGCCATTATTGCTAGGAGCACAAAGAAGCATTTAGAAGCATTAATGAAGTACTGGATCTCTGTTTGGAGGTATTTTCACTAGCTTTCCCTGGAGAATTCTATTTCTGGACAAATTACTCTGTGTAATTAGAACAACTGATTAGGATGAACACAAACTGGCAACCAACCGTTGAAAGAGTGTCAGTTATTTTAGAAGTACAGTATTTATTAGGCTCAATATAGAATGGGCATGGATCGTGGGAGGATATTTAAATTCAACTGGAGCTTCATTCCTAATGACCACACTTGACATATCCATGTTTCCTTGGTAAAAATTCAGAAGTGGTTTCCCATGGCCTTCTTCTGGTATGTCCTTCCAGCCTTCCAGTAAAGCCCTGAGATTTGCTGGTGGTCTCACTCTGGGAAAGGAAGCCAGAAGTTTCTTTCCTTGGTCAGTTGTTGGCTACAAGACCTTATAGAAGCAAAGTCTGTAGAAGCAGAATAAAGGGGGGGGGAGGGAGGAGGAGGAGGAGGAGAGAGAGAGAGGGAGAGGGAGAAAGCATGACTGTAGAAGCAGGATGGATGGATGGATGGATGGATGGATGGATGGATGGATGGATGGATGGATGGATGGATAAATAGACAAATGCTAATAGAAACAGGTTGATCAACTGATAGATCTAGATGGGACTGTAGAAGCAGGATGGATAGACAGATAGACAGACAGATGCAGACAGAAACTGGCTGACTGACTGATAGATCTGGATAGAAGCAGGCTCCAGGTCCTTAGAGTATACAAAGGCTATAGAACTAGAACTAGAACTAGAATCAGTAAGGTAGTATTGGCAGGAAAGTACCAGGAATGTTTTATTTCCTCTCAGTGCTATTTTGCTCAATTGTGTAGTTTTTCCTTTGCACACATTTTCTGCCTTCTATTTTTTTTCTCTCTCTCTCTTTTGCTTATGAATGACTGGTGGCATTTTCATGACGTTCTAGGCCTCCCATAACTTGGTGCAGCAATCTTATTCCTCAGTATTCCCTTTGTTGTATTAATTCAAATAAAAACACCTTTATTCATTGTTGTTCCAATGTTGAATTTGTATTAGCACCACATCCACCAAAAAACTATGGGTGGGGGGCTTTTACCTTGGCAAAAGGGCGCCATCTTTTTTAGAAACTTAGTTCTGGAGGAGACAGATATGCCCCATTCAGGTTTCAGAGAAATGTGGGAATGTAGTGAGGCATCTCCACACCCAAGAAAAAAATGGAGCAGCTTAACTCCTTCCCTGGGTGAGCAATTCTTTCATGGGGGTGGAGAAGAGAACTAGATCCAATTACCCTGGAACTCATGCAGAGGGGGTGGGAGGATGGGGTTTCCAGGAAGAAATTTCCCTTGTTATGTTTTTTTTATAGCTACCATGCTACACATTTAAGGAAGGATGATGTCAAACTAAAGGATGATGTAATGGGATGTGGGAATGACCTTGGGGGACAGGAGGAAGAGCCGCGGCCTAGACAACTGTCATGCAAAAGTTATCTCAGCCCAGAGAAGGAAAAGGGGAGTGGGAAGCCCACCCTAGGCTGGCCCTTCAAGGTGATTCAGGCAAGAAGCACAACTATGAGTACTAACTCTATCTTTATATCAAGACTGAAAGTAGTTCTCCCTTCCTTCCTTTTACTCTCCAGAAAACTAGGGAGGGTCCCTTCTGAAATGCTTCCCATGGCCTCTCTCCTTCTGTGGACGGAGACACCTTTTGTATGACAGTTGTCTAGGCTGCGGCTCTTCCTCTGGTCTCCCAAGGCCATTCCCACATCCCATTACAGATGAGAAGGATCTGGTAGCCAGGTTCCATATGAACAAGTATAGGCAGGTATGAAGAAGCTGAAGTAGAAACAGAAAGGCTGTCATACAGGTGATGGAGAAGACCTCCTACTCTTAGAGGCAGGGCTGGAGTGAAAAGAATAGGTAAATAGATTTGGTCCAAACATTAGGAGAAATATTCTAAGAGTGCCACCTGTTTGGCAATGAAACAGACCGCCTCAGGGAAAGTGGCTTCCTTTTGCAAAACAGTGATTGGATGGCCATTTGGTGAGGATACTATGTAGGCATCCTGTGTTTTAATCCAGCATTAAGCAGGAAATTGGACTAGCCAGCCTCACTCTTCTGTCAATTATTCTACTCTGACATAAGAAATTGTAAAGGTTGACCTTGTGCGACAAGCTCAGCTACTACTTTGGACAAACTCTGCTTCAAAAATCCTTCTGCACAATGTCAGCTTGGATACAAAACTTGAAGGCCATGGAGCAATATGGCCACTTAAATTCTGCTCTTTAGAGCCACGCAAGGTTTCAGTTTGAGGGTATTTCAGCTGAATCTCCAAATCGGTGCTCTTGGTTTGTGTTCAAATAAAAAGTCATATATAAGCTCAATGAGCAAACAAATTCAACCAGGGTTGGGGGGAGGACTGCACATATTATAAACTGAGGTTGCTAATATACACTTGGAAATCTAGATTATGAAGGGCATGATTGCAAACACCTCTTCAATCTTGATTTAGGAGCTGAAAACTGTTTGTAAGAATGCCCCTTTCATTTAATATAAATTAGTTATTCCTTTTAAGCAAGCTAACATTCAGATTGGTCTAAGAAGTTGTTCATTGCCCCCAGGTGCTTAGCCAACTAACAGCAGATCATGAAATGAACAAATGTTGAATTCTGTAATATTTCTAGCCCGTTTATGGTCAAAGGTATGTTTCACAACAAAGAAGATGTTTGGTAACATTTTCTAAAGGAACTGCATGCTCCCTATTCTGAGGATTTTATTCTCTGCCTGTTTCTCAGTTCTGAGTCACCTTAATATTTTAAGTCCCTAAAGAGTAGGTGACAGGAATTACTGTGAAATGCTTATTTCCAGTAGCTCCACTAGGAATGTAGTTTTCTTGCCACAGTGTAATTGTAACTGATACTTTACAATACGTTAAAATTAAGTTGTCATGGCTGTAGTTGTCAAAGAGCTTACAGGAACATTTTTTGTTTTCTCGGTTATTACTCTCCTTGTCTTCGTTGTTCCCTTGCATGTGGCAGAGAAGTGAAACTGTTTTGTTATCTGGTGTTTTAGCTACATGAGAGCCATTTTGGTCTAGTGGTGAAGGCACCAGGCTAGAAAGAAGGAGGCAGGGAGTTCTAGTCCTGCCTTAGGCATGAAAGCTGGGTGACTTTGGGCCAGTCCCTCTCCCTCAGCTCACGATGTCCGGTTCAGGCGACAAGCCAGTCAGTAAATTCCTGTCTCAACCAATGGATGAACATTTGGTTGATCTGAAAAAAGCAGACCCTGTACCTGTGGGAAAACACTAGGAAGAAGAAAAAAAAGTGTTTTAGCTCTTCCTAGGAGAAACTCTGGGTTTTTAAGTCAGACCTTCTAGAACCACAGGTTGACTTAAACTTCAGGAAGTTCAGAGCATTGGGAAAGAAGTCTTCTTTCTGAATTCTTCCTACTGGACTTCCAGGAGACTCCTTACTCACAAGGAGGACTTGTTTCTCCATTGGGCCTGAAGCGTCACCCACCTTTATCTTCGGAGGAAGCTTGGTCCATCAGTCTTGGCTTCTGGTGTAGGCCCCTCAATCTTGGAGAATCCGGGTCACCAGACTCAAGTTGACTCTGGGGATGGAGTCTGATTCATTCTCCAATGAACTCTCCTCTAGTGTAGGGTGGGATAAGATAGACCAAGGGTGAGAGCCCCATACCAGAGGATTCAATGAAGTTGCCTTATTCTCTCAGACACACACTTTCCATTTTAAAGTCTTCTTCAGATATAAAATGTCAGGTTCTATTCTTGCAACTGTCCAGAAAGCTTTGGCAGTTGTGTAATCCAGTAAATGATCAGGAACTGATGAATAAAGCAAAAGGAAGAAATCACCTGGTTGTTCATTTGGAAGGAAATAGAAACTGCAAGACAGAAAGCTTAACCCACCATTGCATTATTTCAAAGTAACTGATCCCCCTCCACCACTTTGAATGATAGATGATGCCAAGCCTATACCACATTTTGTGGTATAGTTTGTGGAAAGGGAAATGGGGATATTGGGGGCAGAGAGAGAAACGGTCTTAAGTTTCCAAGAAATCTGAGCCATAAAATGAATGCTGCCAATTCACACTAAATGAATGGTTTTATTTTTTTTCCGTAGGTAACTTGTCTTCATGATTTCTTTGGGGATGATGATGTATTTATCGCCTGTGGGCCAGAAAAGTTCCGCTACGCCCAGGATGACTTTTCTCTGGATGAAAATGGTAAAGGCCCTTGCATAATTTTTCTTTTTAAGGGGAAGGGTTTCTTCTTGCGACGTTTGGGGTTACACGGCATTTGTATCAGGCATTTTATATTAAATGATATTGCCCAGGCTCACAATAAAATTCAGCTTGCATTTTGAACATCCCAATGGATGTCTTGATCCACTATGCTATTAGTCAAGGATACTTACAGCATTCGGGAAGGAAAATGTGCATCATGGTGTGTTTATTCCCATGTAAAATTTAACATTCCTGAGGGTAACCACAGTTGATCCCCTTCCCCCATTAGAAGTGCATGAAGAACAAATGTTCAGTGAGCTGCTGTGCCTCACAAGAAGGTTGTACATCTCATCAAAACCTGTTTGGCTTCTTGGAATGCTTTACCCCAAAATATCTTCTCTAAATCTGCAAAGTACAGAGTTTGGGAAGTTTTGTATTTTCCAGTGCTGTGTCTAATTCTGGCTTGGTAACTCTGAAAAATTTCATGTCCTCCAATGTTGATTCATTACCTTATCTCAGAAGAGATCCTTTGCCTCCTTCTCATTACAGGGAAATATAGTGGCCTTTTATTGCCAATTTATGCCTGATTTATTACAACATTGCTTAGTCGTCGCCTGAGCCCTTCCTTGGAAACATTCACAATATGGTGCGATCTGAAAGGTTTACTACCTTCATGTACAAACATGACATGTTTCCCTGTTTCAATGGCTGGCTTGTATATCATAAACAGGGTTAGATTGCAGCTAAAACTGATAATTCCTAATTAGGTTGATACATGATCCTTGGGCATTGTATAAAGTATCTTCCCATAATTCAGGACCCTGAAGCTAGATTTTGAGGAGACTTGTCTAGCATGAAATATACTGCAATGCCTCATTTCAAGCCAAGATGGATAATTTAGGAGAATTACACCATCAAGATTAGGTATACTTAGCAAAAAGTGAAATTATTCTGCCAGGCATACCTGTCCAATATTTAGATCAAGTATGGCTTTTGATCAGTCAAACTAAACTATGATGAGTTTCTGATGGGTTCCTGTTTAGGGAAGCCATTCAAAATGGTTTTAATACCAATTTAATCTGTTCATTCAGCAAAGCTTCATCAAACTGATTTGATGCAATGGAGTTCTGCAAAGCCTGTTCAAACTTCTTGAAGGTCCTCTAGTGCAGCTCTGGGATCAGAAAAGGAGCAGTGAGAGAATGAGATATTGTCTCACAAGATATTGTCTCATCATCTGCATGTGGGGGAAAGCAGGTTGAAAAGCATTGATTCAAATCAGAGATCCCCAGCCAGGATGTCCTCCACCTGTGTGGACTTCCAGAGTTTCTACAAAACAGCATGAATGTTGCAGATAATTCCATTCATCTAAAGGACATCAATGGTCTAGGTCAGTGTTGTCCAAACTTGGCCACTTTAAGATGAGTGGACTTCAACTCCCAGAATTCCCCAG